GCCAAATCCGGCCCGTGACTTCATTTTATGTGGCCCACAAGAGCTTGCAAAGAATATAATATGCTTATTATACGGTTACATGCCGATTTACAGAAGCACGTTGCCCATAAACTACATGTAGCACAATGTCTCAAATTTGACTTTTCTCTCAGAATTTGACTTTTTTTCTTCAAAATATTCCTTTTTCTTAGAATTTGACTTTTTCTCAGAATCTGACTTTTTTTTCAAATGTCCCTTTTTTTTCCAAATTGTATTTCTTTTTTTTTCTTTTGACTTTTTTTTCCAGAATTTGACTTTTCTTTTTAAATCATTTTGTGACATTCTCACTGAAGAGACTTATGAAGTTATTATTAAGTATATTATTACTCTATCCGATAATAATCCAATGCAGACGCAATAATGTAATATAATACATTATTTTATATTAAATATTTATATATGTATTTTTATATAGTCTTTTTATTATTGTTATAGTTTTATTTATAATAAAACTGGCCCTTTGAGTGCAACCATGATGCTAATGTGGCCCGAGATGAAATTGAGTTTGACACCCCTGATTTAGAGGAAAAGTCCCAAGCTCAGGCACTGGTGACTGGCAGTGACACAGTCCACTTCTCTCCCTGCCTGCTGCACCTCAGTTATTGTTCACCCTGACATTAAACATCTATATAATCTGTTTCCAGTGCTCTGAATTTGGGTCCAAAAACATCCCGATACAGGCATTGTCAAGTATATTCGTAAAGCTTGCAACAGTTTTCCAGAGATTAGTCTCTTTTGTGGTATAATAATCTTTGCAGAAATTCCTCTGCTAATATCTGTTTTCCTGACATTAAACAGATGCTTTTAACCCAAAGCTAACCAAAGATGATGCATTTCAACCACCACCAATGGTATGAAATGGTATTCACTTCTTGTCTCGTATATAGGCCCAGTTTAATGTATTTGTGTTTTTTTTTTTGCTAACATTTGATATTTACAAAGCCAACACACACATTAATACTA